ACGCTCAGCGTTGAAGCTGAGTAAGCATATCTAATGCATCGAACATCCATATAAATTGAATCTAAATTCATAATCAAATCATTTGATATCATGCACATAATGTTCAGTTCAGATAATCAATAATTATTAAAAATTATTCATCATGCATTATTCAACATTTATATTCACATTCAATGTTCATCAGTCATTCATAATAATTGCAATATTCAATTCAATATTCATCAAGCAATATTTACTCATATTCAATATTCAATATTCAATATTCAATATTCAACATTCAACATTCAACAATATCCTTAAACTATTCTTAGTCTAAGGCCAATCACTTTAATATTTGTCAACCTTTAAACGAATTCAAGTTTAAATAATTAAACTATATTCCGGTATAAAATATTCCTAAATAATCCTTAAGCTAGGCCTAGTTTAAGATAAAAGGGTTTTGAAAATCTTAAACTTACCTTCACTTAAGGCCAACCAAAAACCGACAGCGTAGTGTTCACTGTTGGGTGGGTGGTACCCCCAAACGAGTAGGTACTCAAGTTTGGTTCTTGGATCCCGTATGTAAGTTTTAACCCTAGCCACCGGGGTTCATACCCGCAAGGCCTAACTTAAATAGGTATATCATAGAGTTCTTCTAGATACCTTTCAAATCAACATTAATATGGGTATATCTTAGACGTCTTCTAGATACCCTTAACAATACATTTTATTTTCACAATGATCAATATATTCATTATGATTTAATCATTCACAATTATCATTTTTAATCAGAATATTCATAAGGATTCAATCATCATAATAATCAATCAATAATCATTACCATAATCATCAATCAACATAATATTCAATAACAATTAGCGGCCCAGCTTCGGGTGTTAACACCCTAACTTACTGTCATGCATCACATAACATTTTTATTTGTTAAAAACATCATTTTTATTATGGTAAATCATTTTTCCAATGATCATAATCAATTGGTTGATTTTAGAGTATATATTTTCCGAATATTTTCGGAACACGATCTGGACTGAAGAAAAATCGTTTTTTATTTTTAAAAATAATCAATTAATACCTAAAAATCGATTTTTATAATTAAAATAATCCATTAATAGCTAAAAATCGATTTTTATATTTTAAATAATAAATTACTTGCTAAAAATCGATTTTTATATTTTAAATAATCAATTAATTGCTAAAAATCGATTTTTATATTTTAAATAATCAACTAATTGCTAAAAATCGATTTTTATATTTTAAATAATCAATTAATTGCTAAAAATCGATTTTTATATTTTAAATAATCCATTAATTACTAAAAATCGATTTTTATATTATAAATAATCAATTAATTACTAAAAATCGATTTTTATATTGAAAATGATCAATTAATACTTAAAAATCGATTTTTATAATTAAAATAATCGATTAATAACGTTAAATCGATTTTTATGATTAAAATAATCGATTATTATTATTTTTAAATATACTGACTAACTAAACAAATTTTTAATCGATTATTAGGAAGGAAATAATCGATTTTCGGCCACTGTTCATCATCTTCTTCCTCTGTTCAATTTTTAACATTATCATTTTTAATTACCAAAAGTATAACGAATAAATATAAAAATTATATCGTTAGATAGAGTTTAACTGTCTAATCGCAACGGTGCAATCGGATTTCAATTCGGAGAAAGTTGGACCAAAAAGTGTTCCCCGACTGGGACCAAATTAGTCCCAATCAGGGACTTGCGTTTGGAATTGAAGAAATATCGCAGCCCGCTCCACTAGCCGCCCGAACAGGAAACCAGACATCACCCTTGGCAGCATCCTTCACCATTTTCCTATATAAGTACCATCTCCATTCCTTCAATTCCTCACCATTTCTTACAAACATTCTATCTATTCTGTTGCTAGGAGTGAGGAGAACGCAGTGGTGCTGTCGTATTGGTGTGAGGTCGCCGGAGATAGCTACAATTCTCGCCGGAAGTTTTGCCGGAAAATCTTCAAAACCTCCATTAAGCTTCGAGGTAAGCCCGTAGATATATCTAGTGATTAGAATGTTTGTATAGATCGTTTTTACGTTCATAAACGGTCGTTTGGTTGAGTTTTATGTTTGACGTGTTTGAAGAACCAAGAATCATAAACCAAGAAATTGTTGTTAAAACTACACATTAATGACTCTAAAATGATCTGTGAACATTGGGGAACATTCCTATATAATTTAATTGAAGTTTGGTAATTAAAAATGATAATGTTAAAAATTGAACAGAGGAAGAAGATGATGAACAGTGGCCGAAAATCGATTATTTCCTTCCTAATAATCGATTAAAAATTTGTTTAGATGGTCTGTATATTTAAAAATAATAATAATCGATTATTTTAATCATAAAAATCGATTTAACGTTATTAATCGATTATTTTAATTATAAAAATTGATTTTTAGTAATTAATGGATTATTTAAAATATAAAAATCGATTTTTAGCAATTAATTGATTATTTAAAATATAAAAATCGATTTTTAGCAATTAGTTGATTATTTAAAATATAAAAATCGATTTTTAGCAATTAATTGATTATTTAAAATATAAAAATCAATTTTTAGCAAGTAATTTATTATTTAAAATATAAAAATAGATTTTTAGCTATTAATGGATTATTTTAATTATAAAAATCGATTTTTAGGTATTAATTGATTATTTTTAAAAATAAAAATCGATTTTTCTTCAGTCCAGATCGTGTTCCGAAAATATTCGGAAAATATATACTCTAAAATCCACCAATTGATTATGATCATTGGAAAAATGATTTAGCATAATAAAAATGATGTTTTTAACAAATAAAAATGTTATGTGATGCATGACGGTAAGTTAGGGTGTTAACACCCGAAGCTAGGCCGCTAATTGTTATTGAATATTATGTTGATTGATGATTATGGTAATGATTATTGATTGATTATTATGATGATTGAATCCTTATGAATATTCTGATTAAAAATGATAATTGTGAATGATTAAATCATAATGAATATATTGATCATTGTGAAAACAAAATGTATTGTTAAGGGTATCTAGAAGACCTCTAAGATATACCCATATTAATGTTGATTTGAAAGGTATCTAGAAGAACTCTATGATATACCTATTTAAGTTAGGCCTTGCGGGTATGAACCCCGGTGGCTAGGGTTAAAACATACGTACGGGATCCAAGAACCAAACTTGAGTACCTACTCGTTTGGGGGTACCACCCACCCAACAGTGAACACTACGCTGTCGGTTTTTGGTTGGACTTAAGTGAAGGTAAGTTTAAGATTTTCAAAACTCTTTTATCTTAAACTAGGCCTAGCTTAAGGATTATTTAGGAATATTTTATACTGGAATATAGTTTAATTATTTAAACTAGAATTCGTTTAAAGGTTGACAAATATTAAAGTGATTGGCCTTAGACTAAGAATAGTTTAAGGATATTGTTGAATGTTGAATATTGAATATTGAATATTGAATATTGAATATTGAATATGAGTAAATATTGAATGATGAATATTGAATTGAATATTGCAATTATTATGAATGACTGATGAACATTGAATGTGAATATAAATGTTGAATAATGCATGATGAATAATTTTTAATAATTATTGATTATCTGAACTGAACATTATGTGCATGATATCAAATGATTTGATTATGAATTTAGATTCAGTTTATATGGATGTTCGATGCATTAGATA